TTCAAACTGTGTAATTCCAGAGGAGAGAGTTTCAGCAGCCGCGTGAACAACACAAGAGATCAGCTGCTTTATTAAAAACTAGAGAGACCAGGTCCCCATACGCTTATCACCATGCTTTCCAGATAGAGTTCATGTCTCATTTTATTAAAAATCAATCCGTGATTATTTAACAGCCTTTATATCATTCATGAGACATCAAAGGCTGAATCTGTAACTCTTAGGGAACTGTCCAACAGAGTTAAAAATCAGAGGAAGAATCTTCAGTTTGGTCAAGGCTGCTACCATCACACTGCATTACATGGAAATATACCTCATACTTAGAATTTGTTTCTAATAGAACTGGAACACTAGAATTCTATTAAACCTAATTAGCATGTAATAAGTAACAGCTGGGAGCAAAGCACCATGCCAGACATCTGGGGTATATAAAGATTAACAAAATAGGGTGGCCATCAAGGCACTAACAGGTGGTAGAGGAGAGAGCTGGAGCTCTAATCCAATGGGAATGAAATCTTAAAAAGCTTCAAGAAGATAGCATTTGCCGGGCGCGGTGGCTCACGCCTGTAATCCCAGCACTTTGGGAAGCCGAGGCAGGCGGATCACGAGGTCAGGAGATCAAGATCATCTTGGCTAATACAGTGAAACCCCGTCTCTACTAAAAATACAAAAATTAGCCAGGCGTGGTGGCAGGCGCCTGTAGTCCCAGCTACTTGGGAGGCTGAGGCAGGAGAATAGCGTGAACCCGGGAGGCGGAGCTTGCAGTGAGCTGAGATGCGCCACTGCACTCCAGCCTGGGCGACAGAGTGAGACTCCGTCTCAAAAAAAAAAAAAAAAAAAAAAAAAGACAGCATTTGAGATGGCCTTTGAGCTAAATCAAAGACTCTGCAGAGCAGAGGTCCTCTCAGGCTTTCGGTACCACATATATGGGAAGCCCCTCTTTGAGAAGGGTGGGAAAATGACCACAGTCACAAACACTAGACAGAGTCGCCAGAGAGGTCATCTTTCATATTTAAGAAACCTCGGGCACTCTGTGCTCCAAGTAGAGAAGGACTGTTGGCAGCACTTTCATCCAAGGCCTTCCACACATGGTCCCCATTTGCCTTTTGAAACCCACCGTCCTTCAATTGTTCAACTGAAGCCTCCACTCCTCGTTCCTTGTTTTTGTTTTTGTTTTCTGAGATGGAGTTTCACTCTTGTTGCCCAGACTGGAGTGCAATGGCGCAATCTCAGCTCACTGCAACCTCCACCTCCTGGTTGGAGTGATTCTCCTTCCTCAGCCTTCCAAGTAGCTGGGATTACAGATGCATACCACCACACCAGACGAATTTTTACATTTTTAGTAGAGATGGGGTTTCGCCATGTTGGTCAGGCTGATCTCGAACTCCTGACCTCAGGTGATCCTCCCATCTTGGCCTCCCAAGGTGTTGTGATTACAGGCGCGAGACACTGTGCCCAGCCACTCCTTACTCCTTGTAAATGCAACTTATTTCAGACTCAGCGCCTTTTTTCAGTACTCTGTTCCATTGCATTCTGCTCGGAATGACTTTATCCCTCTTCCCAACCAAACCTAGTAGTTCTCTTCTATCAAGCACCAGGCCTACAACTCACTTCTTCCAAAAGCCTTCTTTGACTATTCTGGCCACTGGGGTGCTTTTCTCTCTTGTACTCTGTACTTATGGCTGACAAGCTCTTTTGAGGTTGTTCTCTGCAATAGAGTTGCTAGCAAGAGTGACCCAGCTTTTCCTTAAGGATATAGTTTTTGAGATTCTAGAGCTATCTCTGCCCCACTCCTGATCATTCGCCTGTGGGCTATTGCTACTGGTGTGAAAGGAAGGCAGACTCAGATCCTCAAAGCCTACATCACAATTTGCAGGAAGTATTTTTGTTTATTTGTTTTTAAAATTTTCAAAGGCTGACTTATACATCTCAACTTCTCTTTGAAAAGACATGGCAAAAAGGCAAATTAAACAAGAAAACAGTTCCTGAATAGTAGCTGAGTGTCTTTTTTTAAGAAACAAAATTACCAGCCTGGGAAACACAGTGAGACCTCATCTCTACTAAAAATAAAAAATTAAGCTGGGCGCGGTGGCTCACGCCTGTAACCCCAGCACTTTGGGAGGCCAAGGCAGGTGGATCATCTGAGGTCGGGAGTTTGAGACCAGCCTGACCAACACGGAGAAGCCCCGTCTCTACTAAAAATACAAAATTAGCCGGGCGTGGTGGCTCATGCCTGTAATCCCAGCTACTCGGGAGGCTGAGGCAGAAGAATCACTTGAACCTGGGAGGTGGAGGTTGCAGTGAACCGAGATTGTGCCATTGCATTCCAGCCTGGGCAACAAGAGTGAAACTCCATCTCAAAAAAAAAAAAAAAAAATTATTTGAATGTGGTGGCTCCCATATGTAGGCTCAACTACTGTGGAGGCTGAGGTAGGAAGATCTCTTGAGCTCAGGAGGTCAAGGCTGCAGTGAGCCGTGATTGTGCCACTGCACTCCAGCCTGGTAACAGAGCAAGACCCTGTCTTAAAATAAATAAATAAATAAATAAATAAATAAATAAATAAATAAATAAAATTTGTACTTTAATACAGGCCTGGCACAGCGGTTCATGCCTGTAATCCCAGCACTTCGGGAGGCCAAGGGGGGAGGATCATGAGGTCAGGAGTTTGAGACCAGCCTGGCCAATGTGGTGAAACCTCATCTCTACAAGGAAATGTAAAAATTAGCTGGTTGTGGTGGCATGCACCTGTAGTCCCAGCTACTAGGGAGGCTGAAGCTCGAGAATTGCTTGAATCCGAGAGGCAGAGGTTGCAGTGAGCCGAGATTACACCACTACACTCCAGCCTGGGCGACACAGACAGACTCTAACTCAAAACAAACAAACAATTTTTACTCTAACACAGAAGTGTTTTTTAAAAGTTATTATTAGAATGCTTCTTTTTCTATAGACTTTTTTGGTTAGTGGATAAAGTTACTCGTAAGAATAGGTCAATGCTTTATATAAAAAGTAAAGGTGAAATGATAAAGCCACCTTCAAAAGTGGCTGCTATGAGATGTTAAAGCTTATTTTTTTCTGAGACATAAGAATGTCAGAGGTGCCACCTTTGTCAAAGCCCTGTGAATCTCTGTGAGCTCTAAGAGTAACACCAACAGAAATATCCAAGGGAAACGTGCACTCTCAGAACATTCTCAGAGATTAGAGCTGCTTTCTGCAGATCACATAGTTTCCATTAATAACCCATTGTATATGTCACTCATGAGTTAATCTAACCTATTTATATTCACACAACTGTGGTTCAAATTGTTTCTTCCAACTCACGACTCAAATAACACAATCAGAATTCAGTGGAAACAGAAGTGTATAAAGATGTGGAGAAGTTCAGATTTTTACCTGTATAAAATAATTTTAAACATGTTAAAAAAATCTGATTCCGTTTACGAAGTTTTATACATTGATTGAATAGTATGCTGTTAAGGAGATTTGTATGGAAGAGTAAAAAAATTGGGTATAAAAATAAAAACAAAAATTTGTAGTCTGAATTAAAAAAGAGCAACCAGAGCCCAACAACTAGTCATTCGACATCTGATACAATCTCCAGTACTCAAAGTAAATTAAGATTGACATTTCACTTACTATGACTGAGGCAGTAACAGCCTAAATAAAGTTTGGTGAAATTGCACTCAACAATCTAGGTCACAGAGAATAAAAGAGTCAAGCAAAGTCATCAAGACACTTTTTATATCAAAGGAGGGATGAGAGTTGATTAGATAAATTGTAACTTTATTTTCCTTAAAGTCCTCTTCTCTAAAAGGTATGTAGCCTGATTGCATTATTATTAATTACATCCATGTTACTTTTATAAGGCAGGGCAAGGACACTAGAATCAAGTAACAGTAGAACTTGAAGAAACATTTATTTTAGACTCATTATAATTTCAATTTAAAAATCTCTGTCCACATGGAGGTATTGTTTCAAGATGGCTGGAAATAAATGCACCAACCGTTTATTTTTAATTAATCTTCCCTGCTCCGTTGTTCTCAAGGAGCGACCCCACCTCTCATTTGCTTTCTACCAGACAACAAGTGACTAGTAGGCTGAAAGGACTTTGCTGTCCTTTAAAATCATTTCATTTCTGGGTATGGTGGCTCACACCTGTAATTCCAACACTATGGGAGGCCAAGATGGGAGGATGGCTTGAGGTCAGCAGTTTAGGACCAGCCTGGGCAACATGAGGAGACCCTGTCTTTGCAAAAATATATAAAATAAAATAGTTTCATGGGATAGGAAGATTTTTAAAAAGTGCCATGAGAATTAAAGAGTGCCACATAGGCCAGGCGCGGTGGCTCAAGCCTGTAATCCCAGCACTTTGGGAGGCCGAGACGGGCGGATCACGAGGTCAGGAGATCGAGACCATCCTGGCTAACACGGTGAAACCCCGTCTCTATTAAGAAATACAAAAAACTAGCCGGGCGAGGTGGCGGGCGCCTATAGTCCCAGCTACTCGGGAGGCTGAGGCCAGAGAATGGTGTGAACCCGGGAGGCGGAGCTTGCAGTGAGCTGAGATCCGGCCACTGCACTCCAGCCTGGGCGATAGAGCGAGACTCCGTCTCAAAAAAAAAAAAAAAAAAAAAAAGAGTGCCACACTTGGGGGTTTTGTTCCTTTTAGGCAGGTACTGATTATAGGAAAAAATGCAATTCTGGGCCCATGCTTGTGGTCCCAGCTACTCAGGAGGCAGAGGTGGAAGGATTGCTTGAGCCCAGGAGATCAAGGCTGCAGTGAGCTATGATCGCCACCGCACTCCAGCCTTGCAACAAAGCGAGAACCTGTCCCATGCCCCACCGCCGCAAAAATGCAATTGTAATAATGTCTCTATCACACACGCGAAGAACTGCAGCTACTCTTCAGTTCTAATGTGCAACGCCAGGAAGACGAGAGTCACTGTGGAACATGGGAAGGACAGGGGTTGCCTGGCAGCGGCCCCACCATGACTGGGATACTTACGGGGCAGTGAGGTAACCCTCCAAAAAGCCAGCCACAAACATGGTGATCTCATTGCTCAAGGCTTGAGAGCCATAGCCAGCTCTGATCTCCAGGATGCCCCAGCCTGTGGTTTCCACAGAGTTATTGTAAAAGCCATAGGCGTCCCCATTCTTGTCCATTATATTTTTGACTTCTACTGTCATTTCAGCAGGCATCCAGTATGCAGTTGCATAGTAGACTCCTAGAAGAAAAGGGAATAATGATAAAAATGCCATTCAAATGAGCTGTGATGCTTTTTTTTCCTATGTATCCAACAATTTCAAGACATTTGCTTTTAAAGATTTCCATTCTATTAGAATTGGGAAATCTGCCGTTATTGTTTGCCCTTATTCCAAGTGAGGAAAAACTGGAACCTTGATCAAGGGGGATAAGCTCAAAACACAAAGAACAAGGTCAAAGGTAGGGGTATAGTTACAGCATCATAGAGGTGAGCCTGAGTGCTTCATCCTTAGAGGGTGGGAATCTGGGCAGGGCTGGAGCTGGACCTTAAGCCAACTTCTTGAGAGCTTGTTTGGAGGTTCTAGCAGGATAGCTCAGCTAGTTGTATACCCTTGACCGAAGACCGGTCCTCCTCTATCAGGGATGCTCGTCCTCTTTGACTGAGCACGCAGCTTCAGGAGGGACGCACATGGAGGAGTGAGGGAAGAAGGGGACAACCGCCCAGCCAGCCAGATCAGCCAAATCAACCTGGTGGTCAATGGGGTGACAGATGTCGCAGCCAGACCGCCCTCACATCCAACGCCCACTTCTTAATTCAGACAAGAATAGGGCTCTTGTCCCTAGTCAGCAACTTCTTCCATTCCCCTTAACAGGTGGAACAAAACATCACCATTCTCAGGCTCCTTATCCTATGTCTCTTGCTTAATTCATCTAATGTCATATGACATTAGATTTTTTGCAGAAAAAAGTAGAAGCAAGTAGAAGCTATCACCTGTGACTCCGTCAGGTGTTGATAATTTTGTGGGTCCATCCCTAGACAATCCCTGAACTCATCACGCCCATCTCTCCGGAGCTTCTGGTTCACCTCCATCCTTCGACCCATGCTCTGGATCTCACCCTCCCACCTTCTTTAGGAACTTTGTTCTATCCTATATCCTCTTGCTCCTGTGCCCTAAAGTTCCTTCTCTCGGCAGTAGCTTCTCCCCCTTTGGCATACTTAACATGCTCCATTGTCTCATAGCTAAAAATAAACCAACTACAGAAGCCATCTGGATCCTGTGACCCAATGGAGCTATTGCTGGAATCTCTCACTCCCTTCACGAAATCATTACAAAGTTTAAAGTGTCCACGCTGTATCAGGGACTGTTTTGAGTGCTGGTGACAGAGCTGTGAATATGACTGGCACAGTTCCAGGCCTCGCCTTTTGGAAAGAGGAATGCACTCACGCCCTGCACTTCCTCCTCTTGTCCCTTGCTCCAGCCGGCTGCAGTCTGCTCTCCACCTCCAGGATATCAACGCGGCTTCTGCCTGGCTCACTCACAAAATCCTGGAGTCCTAATGTCACATGAACTTCTGAAAGCATTGCATTCGTGACCACTTATTCTTAAAACCCTTTCCTCCCACGGCCTTTGGGACACTACACCCTCCCCACTCTCCTTCTCCTGTGCCTGCCTTTTTCCTCATTCTCCCCATAGGTTCCTCTTTATCTTGTATACCCCACAGCACACTTGATAACACAATCCGGATGACTCCATCGCACTAGAGATTCGAAATATCCTCCATCGTGATGCTTTCTCTCTCGGTGATCTCCCAGCCTGAAATTTGAATCCATCCTGGCTTCCTTTCTCTCTCTGATATCTTAGGTTTAATCAAAGCCTCCTAAATATCTCTCCCACCAGTCTCCACCTCTTTATGCCTACATTTCTATGTTACTTTAGGTAACACAACTGGCCGTTTAAGTATAGAAGAGGACTTTTTCAAGGTTTCTCTGACCTTTAATCCATTCTTCATTCTCTACCAGAGTAGCATTTCTAAAATGCGAACTGATTTTGTTAGCTTGCCTGCTAAAAATGTTCAATAGTTTCTATTTCTTAAAAGTTCTGCTGCCGGGTGCAGTGGCTCACACCTGTAATCCCAGCACTTTGGGAGGCCAAGGAGGATGGATCACCTGAGGTCAGGGGATTGTGACCAGCCTGGCCAACATGGAGAAACCCCGTCTCTACTAAAAATACAAAATGAGCCAGGCGTGGTGGTGTGCGCCTGTAATTCCAGCTACTTGTGAGGCTGAGGCAGGAGAATTCCTTGAACCCGGAAGGCAGAGGTTGCTATGGACCTAGATTGTGCCATTGCAATCCAGCCTGGGCAAAAAAGTGCAAAACTCTGTATCAAAAACAAAAAAAGCAAAACAAAACAAAAAGTTCTGCTCACAGGCATGAGCCACTGCGCCTGGCCAACATTTTACTTTTTGATGTTAAGATTGCCTATCAGCCGGGTGCAGTGGCTCACCACTGTAAATCCCAGCAGTTTGGGAGGCCGAGGCAGGCGGATCACCTGAGGTCAGGACTTCGAGACCAGGCTGACCAACATGGCGAAATTCCATCTCTACTAAAAATACAAAATTAGCTGGGTGTGACGCATGCCTGTAATTCCAGCTACTTGGGAGGCTGAGGCAGGAGAATCGCGTAAACCTGGGAGGCGGAGGCTGCAGAGAGCTGAGATTGTGCTGTTGCGCTTCACCCTGGGTAACAAGAGTGAAATTCCCTCTCAAAAAACAAACAAACAAAAAGACTGTCTATCACACTTTTCAAAATAAGACATACATGTGGCCAACAAGCATATGAAAAAAAGCTCAACATCACTGATAACTAGCAAAATGCAAATCAAAACCACAATGAGATATCATCCCACACGAGTCAGAATGGCTATTATTTAAAATGTCAAAAAATAACAGGTGCTGGTGAGGTTGCAGAGAAAAAGGAATGCTTATACACTGTGGGTGAGAGTGCAAATTAGTTCAACCATTGTGATGATTCCTCAAAGACCTAAAAACAGAAATACCATTCAACCCAGTAATCCCATTACTGGGCATATACCCAAAGGAATATCAATTGTTCTGTCATAAAGACACATGCACATATATGTTCATTGCAGCACTACTCACAAGAGCAAAGACATGGAATCAACCTAAATGCCCATCAGTGGTAGACTGGATAAAGAAATTGTGGTACATATACAGCATGAAATACTATGCAGCCATAAAAAAGGATAAATCATGTGTTTGCAGGAACACGGATGGAGCTGGAGGCCATTATCCTGAGCAAACTAACGTAGGAACAGAAAACCAAATACTGCATGCTGTCACTTATAAGTAGGAGCTAAACAAAGAGACACATCATTTAGTCCATTATGTTTCTAATGGAAACATAGAAGAGAACAACAGACACTGGGGCCTGCTTCAGGGTGGAGGGAAGAAGGAGAGGATCAGGAAAAATAACGAATGGGTACTAAGCTTAATACCTGGGTGATGAAATAATTCATACAACAACTCCCATGACACACATTTACCTATATAATACACCCACATATGAATCCCTGAACTTAAAATAAAAGTTAAAAACAGAAATACCATTCAACCCAGTAATCCCATTACTGGGCATATACCCAAAGGAATATCAATTGTTCTGTCATAAAGACACTTGCACACATGTGTTCATTGCAGCATTATTCACAATAGCAAAGACACGGACTCAATCTAAATGCCCATCAGTGGTAGACTGGATAAAGAAATTGTGGTACGTATACACCATGGAACACTATGCAGCCAAAAAAAAAAAAAAAAAACCGTCTATCAAACATGCACTAAAAGTAGAGTCTTAATACTAGAGCATCATGGCACCGTGGTCCAGGGGCTCGGTGATAGGCTGGGGCTCAGTCAGGCTTAGAAACTAATCCTGATTAAACTCTTAAGGAATGATCTGAGTAGGCCTAAGTCAATTTACTTCTGAGTACAATGACTACCATGGCAGGCCTTCACAATCGCTAAATGGAAGTAATGGCATTAAGAAATAGGGAGGTGTCAAATAATTTACCAATAAACTGCGGTTGACAAATAATTGTCTGATTGTTAATGGAGCCATTCGGCCACAATTTGACAATTGTAGGCAGCACCCACGGAAACTTCCCTTCTCCACCCAAAGGCAATACATTTTCCAAATTTATTTTTGACCACATATCCCCAGCTTTTCTCACACATTCCCTTCCACCCTCACCTCCAGGGAGCCTTGTAGGGAAATGAGGAAGTGTGGTTGCTTGCATAAAAAGCAGAGTCATAAACAGGAACCATAAAACAAAAAAGGAAGGTGTGTCTCCTCTTTTCTTTCTACCCACAAAGCATGATTTTAGCTTTTTCTTCTTCTCCAAAACCTTGGCATTTCTCATCGTTAGGCAACCCAGGCCTGCCTTCACCTTCCAATCAATCAACTCCTTTTTGCTGTAATTTGAGGCTTGCCCAAGACAACCTGAGTACTAAAGCAAGAGCTATGTTTTCACTGTTGCTGGTCCTACCTAATTTCCTGACCACAAAAAGAAACTTCTGCAAATATGTGCTTTTTTGACACTCGTGTACCTCCATGCATGAAAAAACCTTTGCTCAATCCCCAAGAGATTTTGGTGAGAAAAGTGTCCTGCCAATAGCTTAGCATGTGCTTTGAGAATAAAGCCCAAAATCAGAGTCTTCCCTCCACTCCAGCCGAGGTCCTCCACTCCTCAATGTTTTCTCCAAGTTTCAACTCTTTCTGGTTCTCCCAGTATTCATGCCATTTTCTGATTTTCTTAAAACCTGTAATAGTTTAAACCATTGTACTTTTCCATTTTTAAAAGACATCTTCACGATGAGAGGTGAATGGTCTGAACAAAGTAATAGTGAAAAAGGTAGAAAAATAGTACATAATTCTAATGCAAACCTAGTTTTATACAAGCTCTGTGAAAGTGGGGACTATTTCTGCTTAACACTCTATAAACCTGACAAAATAATGTTTCTTTGACGAATCTAGTTTGTGTGTGTTCTTTAAATGAAAAGAAAGCCATTTATTTACTTATTTATTTACTATTTATTTTCGAGCTGGGGTCTCGTTCTGTTGCCCAGGCTGGAGTGCAGTGGCACAATCACAGCTCAGTACAGCCTGGAATTCCTGGGTTCAAGCGATCCTCCTACCTGAGCCTCCCAGAAAAGGAAGCTCATCAGAGCACTCATTCACAGAAGTTAGTATGAAATAGCTCAACTAATTATGTTTTCAAGCCTGGGGGAGAGACTTACTAAATGGCTCAGAATCTTGGATAAAGTCTATCCAGACCCAAGAGCAGGAGCTATTTGTTGATATTTTCTTTAGAGTTATGAAAATGAAAAGTCAGAATTCAAACATTTTAACAGCAATATCCTCAAAATCAATGCACTTGATTAAATATCTGTTGAATGAATGGGAATGTTATTTATAAAAAGTATTTTTCTTCTATAAATAAAGATAGAAAATATGCCATCATTTTTATATTTCTGTGTAAAAGCCCAAACGCCAAAGTTAAATTATTTGTATTAATATTTACTTGTATACTCTGGTTAATATTTTATTTATTTATTTATTATTTTGTTGAGACAGAGTTTTCACTCTTGTTGCCCAGGATGGAATGCAATGGTGCGATCTCGGCTCACTGCAACCTGCGCCTCCCAGGTTCAAGCGATTCTCCTGCCTCGGCCTCCCAAGTTGCTGGGATTACAGGCACGCGCTGCCACGCCTGGCTAATTTTGTGTTTTTAGTAGAGACAGGGTTTCTCCATGTTGGTCAGGCTGGTCTCGAACTCTGGACCTCAGGTGATCTGCCTGCCTTGGCCTCCCAAAGTGCTGGGATTACAGGCATGATCTACTGCAACGGGCAATATTTTCTATGAGTTCGTTGTTTTCAGTTGAAAAAAATTCCTACCCTGTCTTAGAAAGAAAAAAATGTATAAAATACTTGAAAGTAGTTTAAACTATTCTCTCCCATATTTGGATTCTATAATAATTTTTCTAGCACCTCATTTATGAAAAAGCAGGTAG